AAAGTGATTCTTTGGCTATTAGGAACTCAAGTTTCTCGGCCATGTGGTGAGCCCGGGGGGTGTTCGACCAGATTCGGAGAAGTTTGCTGCCGTTGCCGATTTCCCTCGTCCTGGAGAAAAGAAGGCTGTTAAGCGATTACTCGGACTCATTGCCTACTACCGCCGTTTTGTTGAAGGATTTTCGAAAATCGCAGAAGCTCTTACAAGACTGACACGGCCAGATGTGTCCTTCGTATGGAGGGAAGAACAACAACAAGCCTTCGTAGAGCTACGCAATCGACTGCAGACAGCTCCAGCGCTGGCACATTTCGACGACACTGCCGACACCGAGATCCACACAGACGCCAGCAATGTAGGAACCGGAGCCATTCTAGTTTAATGGCAGAACGGCGCAGAACGTGTGATCGCTTACGCGAGCCGCAGTCTCACAAAAGCAGAGGCTAATTACTCTACCACCGAAAAAGAGTGCCTAGCAGTCATTTGGGTCATTAGCGAATTTCGACCCTACCTGTACGGCCGGCCATTTCAAGCGGTCAGTGGCCACCATTCGCTCTGTTGGCTTGCCAAACTACGGGATCCATCAGGCCGCCTCACCCACTGGAGCGTCCGCCTTCAAGAGTACGACATAACGGTGGTCTACCGATCAGCAAATAAGCATACAGATGCTGACTGCCTGTCTCGTGCTCCTATTTCCCCGACGTCATCTGACACTGAACAAGATTTACAGTTTCTTGGCACCGTCGATGTGGTGCGGATGGCTGAGCTTCAACGTGAGGACACTGAGCTACTTCCTGTCATCCAGCATCTTCAAGGAGAAAACGTTATCGTCCCACGCCGGCTCTCACGTGGTTTAACAACGTATTGCCTGCACAACAATGTTCTCTACAAGAGAAATCTTGAGAGCAGCCAGGAAACTTTCCTCCTCGCCGTTCCAACGGCACTGCGTGAAGAAGTTTTGCAGGCGTGCCAAGACAATCCTTCGGCCGGTTCCTTAGGCTTTGCCAGTATATTAGCGCGCATCCGGCAGAAGTACTACTGGCCACAGCTGTATTCGTCCTTTCAGCGCTATGTCCGCCCCTGCCATGACTGTCAGAGGCGTAAAGTTCCACCCGCAAAGCCCGCTGGTTTCCTCCAACCTTTAGACCCACCTCGAGCACCATTTCAGCAAATGGGAATGGATATTCCTGGTCCCTTCCCTACGTCATCCTCAGAAAATAAGTGGATAATTGTCGCAACCAACTATCTGACTCGCTATGCAGAAACCAAAGCTCTGCCTAAGGGAACTGCAGTTGAAGTCGCCAGATTCTTTGTCCACGATATTGTTTTGCGCCATGGTGCACCTGCTGTTCTCATAACCGATCGCGGAGCAACATTTACGGCAGAGTTATTGCAACAAGTCACCAAGCTGACGCACACCAACTACCGGAAAACAGCAGCTTATCATCCCCAAACGAACGGCTTGACGGAGAGGTTAAACAAAACACTGGCCGACATGCTATCTATGTATGTTGATATGTATGTTGATGTAGAGCACAAAACGTGGGATGACATTTTGCCGTACGTCACGTTTGCTTATAACAGCGCTGTGCAAGAGACCACAGACCTAACACCATTCGAGCTTGTTTATGGTCGTCGCGTCACAACACCGTTAGACGCTATGCTCCCCGTAGACCAGGACACCAGCGGAAATGACAGCGTTGACGACTTCGTCGAGAAAGCCGAGGGAGCCCGCCAGCTTGCACGGAACCGCATTCGCACGCAGCAAGATATCGACGCTCGCCGTTACAACCAAGGCCGAAGGAACGTCCACTATCTACCAGGTGACTATGTATGGGTGTGGACACCAGTTCGACATCGTGGGCTTTCGGAGAAGCTATTGCGACGCTACTTTGGCCCTTACGAAGTTGTGCGCTGCCTTAGTGACGTGAATTACGAGGCAGTTCCCCAAAGCTCCGACACCAGTTTAAACCGAAGACGTCCACGTCCAAAGGTAGTTCATGTAGTACGGATGAAACCATACCACGCCCACGAGTTATAAACACTTCAAACTTTTTTCTTATTATCCACAACAGCATGGGCTTTTTTTTCGTTGACGTGATGATTTTTTTTCATGGCCACCTCTAGCATCTCAGTCAGTCGACCGGGACGGTCGCTCTTGAAAATGGGGGAATTGACGCAAGGTAGGCTGGCAACTATAGTAGCCCGCTTCTGAGGAGGACAACGAAGCAGTTCTGTGTGCACGTGCTCTGGTGCTCGCATGTCTGGCCCTTGAGTCACGAAAGTAAACGCCCTATTTTTGTACCTGCATACCTATGTCTTTGTGACAATATTTCAGACCGGTGCCTCAAGTAGCAGAATAACTATCAAGAAGAAGGGTAGATCTTTCAGCGCTCGAAACTATGAGGGCGCTGTTGGCTACAAGAAGGAGTGGAGTCACCACCTGGCGGCTATCAGAAGCGCGCCGAGTCCGGACTGCTCCTTCCTTCGTCTGCTGGTCACGTCTTGTTTGCATATGCGCCTACATCATGCATGACCTCTAATGACGATTTGTTTCGTTATGTTATCGCAAGTGTATCTGCTTTTACGTATGATTAACACGGTGCACAGAAGCACTTGCTTTGCTAGGCTGCATGTGAATTGCAATATGACCTGTGAGTGTGACTTCCGAGACTGATGTGTGATGTCGTCGTACCCTCCGAACAGTATAATTATTTCAAACTGGTTGTCGCTCTCTGGTTCTAGCACACCGTAAAGTACATCGCCACCAACATGCATGAAGAGTAGTGTGAATGGAACGTTTTAGCGGCCCGGTGGTACACAAATTCAGGTCATGCACTTACACGTAGTTGATAGCGGTAGAACTGCGGCACGTTTATTGGTTAGGTAATAAGCTTTATTTGTACTTTACGCGTCATTTTATTGTACGTTTGTGGTTCACATACAAAAATATCTTTATGTCAAGTAAAGTCTCGCACAACGGTCATTAAACTGACTCCTAGAACACAGAAGGTGGGAGGCAACGAAGTGATAAAACGGAGTTGCCGGGCAAAGTTTCAACATTTGGTGTAAGTTATGCACAAATAGCCGTGTGCGTAAATTAGGTATGCATTAAAGAACGCATATGTGCATTTCAAATAGAGTACCTTACAGTTATGTCCTATTGACGCAAAACCTCCTGATCGTCTTTATTTTGTATTATCTTGGTCATCTGCGCGGCGTCGTTATAGACTGGTGAAAGGCAGCGGCCATTATTCATTAAAAAAACAGAAACATACTTAGCCCATAAAACAACCGGACCTTTTTTGCGTAATCTTGTAACGCGTAGTCAATCTATATTAGCTCTGCGCTGATCTGTGTCTTTTTTTTTTACTGTCACTGGGTCATGAACAAATGCGTACGTGCTCAATGTCTGCGTAGCATTAAAGTGATGTCAGTCACGTAGCGTTCGTGACTAAACTTATCAACCGCCCTAGCTTTAGCGGAGAAAGCAATAAGAAAGAAATGAGTATGCATGTTTCCGCGAATAGTGTTATTCAGGTCACCAAACAGCAATACGGTTTTTTTTTTCAGTATTCATACTTGCAAGAAGTTAGGTAAAGTAGTTCGGTCACGCTATAGCAGCGCGTACTAGGCGGGACATAGGCTAAGCACGTACAAATAAAACTACCAGAAACGTCCTATATTGTGAAAGCGCATACGGTCATCCAGGGCGAGCAGCCCTTTCATCGACAGATAGCACTTCTCTCAATAGTAATAGTTATGTTAGATGGGATTCGTGCATTGATTCGGCAAAGAGGATTGTAGAAGTAAGCTGCGGAGAACGCATTTTATTCATCGACAATCGGCTCAAACCACTCGCAAGAAAGCGCCACCATTTGAATTTCTATTCGCTCATCCGACCGATTCACGCTACCGCGGTAACAGTGCTCCCACCTATATCTTGATCTTGGGGCGGATCATAGCCTCCTAGATTTCCCTTGCCGGCTGGATTATCGGCGGTCACTTGGAAAGCGGCTGTCGTCAGAACTATGGGGGTGGCACCGCCTAAGTAGGGACGTCTTCAAACAAGTTTTTACGTTTTTGCTGCTTATATGCAACAAAAATATCGTAAGAAAGTTTTAAAAAAGCGTAAACGTAATTATAATTAACCCTACGCAAGTGACGCCACCATTCACCAAGAAACTTCTTCAATACAAGGCATAGCCTCTAAAATTAGTAGCAAAAGCCATAACTGCCAATCTCAAAGGCCAAGTACAAAGACCCTTACTCTTACGTAGGTAGCGCCGCCATAGATGACGGGTGTTTTACGCTCATCCGGCAGGCAAGGGAAATCTAGGTGGCTATGGGCAGATAAGGCTAGTCCCTTAAGTGGTTTCGTAATCAGCCTAAGACGGCCTCAAAAATTTTCAGAAGCTTTCACGCGTCTGCTGGTTTGTCCACCGTCTCCATTATGTCAGTGCGAATTAGCTGTGCGATAGTTTATACATTTCCCCCACTTTGTCGAAAGGTTTAAGGAAGGTAAATCGGCCACTACCGGCTCGTAGCACGAAGCATGGTCTCCGAGACGCGGCTGGGCTAGAGGAGCAGCACGTGCCACTCCTCTAGCCCGGCCGTGTCCGAGGTTGTGCGCCTGTGCCAGTGAACCCACCTCGCATACCGTTCGCCTAGCTACGCGTCTCGAAAGCCAAGGTTACACATTCTTCTCGCCCTCGTTGTCTGCCCCATGTTACGAAGATCACCTATGCGATGCACTGTAAACCCTTTCTCTCTGTTTAAAGCCTCCCATTTCTTGCATTATTCGTTCGCTGTTATCTCAGCGGACGATAATAAAATTTCAAGGAAAGGTGGGGTAAAGCTGGTTCTCGGGGCTGCTTCGACTCAGTGCCTCTTTAAGTTGGACAAAGTGTATCACTTTTTTCAAAAAAAGAAGAAATGAAAATGTGTTCTGAGACGGGAGCTGTCCCAGTTTAAGAAACAGCAAAAGGTCCGAGTTCAGCTTAACTGATGCGTCACTCTCTTCGAAAGTGAATTCTGCGACGTGGTACTGTTGCAGTTCTTTGTCGACGCTCTCAACCTTCAAGTCACGCTTGACGGTGCCACTGAAACCCTCGTCGCTGCTTTGACGCACATGCCTCTGGTGATATTGGTGGAGACAAACGTCACCCTTGTTTGTGTGGACAACGTGCCTACCGACTCCTTACTGCAGAAGAATCTTCAGACCTGTATTGTAAGTAGCACTAACCTGCCCATTTATTTATTTCACGGAAGAAAAACGAGTGCAAGAGAATGTGGTGTGCGCGTCTTTGTTGCCCTTGAGAGTGTAAATTTCCATGCTTCGGGCTGATTGAAAGAACTAGCCCAATAGACCACGAGCGCGCCTGTTGGACCCGCGGTGTTCAATTGGCAAATACTTGTTGAAATGTTAACTGAATGGGGGCGCTGACGCAATCCCACGCCGTGTTTCTTCGAAGACCGACCCAAACGCTGCACTTTACCGGGTATGTCCTTGTGGCGCCATCTGCGTTCTTATATGGACTATACAGAGCAAAACGACTTCTCGCGATTTAGTAAAATAAGATTTTGCAATCTCGAAAAACAGCAGTCTTACCCCGACCAGACGCTTGGTAAGTCAGGAAATGAGTGACACGAAAGTGCGGGTGGAGCGGCCACAGCGAGATTCCCGAACCAAACACCGTGACGTAGTAAATTTTGAAGGCGTTTGCTGGGTCGTACATAGCTTCTATTCGAGAAAAATGAAGCACATTGTCTTCTGTGGCTGCCTTGATCTAGTATACGAAGTCTCAAAAAATTTCCTGGAGCGAATATGGCGAAAATACCAAAAAGACATTTCGAAATTTTCTACGTTACACACCGAGTTTCGCCGCAAAATTTAAAAATGAAACTTTTACCTTGCATTTCTTTACGAATAATGAACTTTTTACTATGAAACTTACGACGTTAGAGCTGTCCGAGCACAGTTTATAAATCTAAGCTAAGTCATTGTTTTTCTTTGTTGCCGTTAATAAAGCTACTTTCTTCTTAAGGCCGCTTTCACCTGTTGCGCAATATCTTCCTTTCATGAGCGCCGAGGATAACTCATGTTCCCGGAAAGGTCAAGTTATTCCGCATAACGGCCTTGCACGAAGTTTTCAGGAGGTAAGAAGCTTTCAAGCGTTTTTTTCCTGAGAATTCCCTGCAAATGGTGCAATAGCATCGTGCTATGAACAGTGGTTGTTGATTTGCCTTTCTTGATTCTTCCGGCACCGTGGGTTACTCTATACACAATTGATTTCTAATAATATCAGTCAAATGTAGGAGAGACGGGGAAATTCATGAAAGCTTTTAGCACTTTTCAGGCCTCCTCAAGTTGGTTAAAGTGTTTAAGAGGAGTCTCTTACCACCCTCCTACGACCGGCGATGGATAGCTCTACTCTTCTTAGTGATGATTCCATTATTACCCAGGTGGCCAGTCAAAAATCTGGTGACATCATCGCAAGTTGTATTAGGAACTAGTACTCCCTGAGTTGATGATTTGATTGATATATGGGGCTTAACGTACCAAAATCACCATATGATTATGAGAGACACCGTAGTGGAGGGCTCCGGAAATTTCAACCACCTGGGGTTTTTTAACGTGCACCCAAATTTGAGCACAAGGGCCTACAACGTTTCCGCCTCCATCGATAATGCAGCTGGGATTCGAACCCGTGACCTACGGGTGTGCAGCCGAGTACTTTAGCCACTAGACCACCACGGTGGGGCACGTACTTCCTGAATGGACTTCGCAGCCTTATCAGACAAGATTTTGATGGATGACATGCTTGGCTGTTCAAACGGATCAGGTCGACTTTGGGAACAGAAGCGTGAAGCATGGTGAAGTGTATAGGGCAGCGTTAGGACGACGTCACTATAAACCCTAACCGAATAGCTCACCTTTCCGTGATGCTACAGTGTGAACCATGCTCGTAGAATATTCAGAACTCGCATCATGAGAGTATGGGTTTCTGAGGTTTCGACGAGCCTTGAACGCTTTGTGGGTCAATGACGTACGTCTAACCGGTGTGTTTGATATGCGCCTCTTTTTGGGCAATTTGTCTTGCTTGGCTGGTGTGGCCACCAAGCGGAAATACGTAGACTTCTTTTCCTGGCACCATTTTTACCGCTTTCGTTGCTTTTATTCTTGCTTAAGAGTTGGGGTGTGCCGGATAGTTTTGGTCTCGTTCTCATTTCGCGCTTGTAGCGCCCGCAAAAGTGAACGTATTTTGGTTTGGAATATTGCCACAGGTGACCGATATGTTACTGTCTAGTTAATTGCTCCCTGGTACGCAATTACGCCCGTTTACGTGCATACGCTGACTGACACACGTGAGGCCGCTTTGTTTCATTTTGTGTTGTGAGGGCTCGCGACAACCACTTTGGTTTTGTTGGCAATAACTCGAAGATGTAACATAGGTTTCGGAATTGCTTTACTTTTCCGGTTGGGCTCACAACTACGCAGTTCTCTTCAGTGCACTCACCCACGCCGTTTGCTCTCGAAGAGCGCACCCGTTTGTGAGTCCACAAGTTAGTCTAGCGGCTATTCCTGGGATTGGCCGCTCCACTGCAGAATCTCAATCTTAATTAGCAAATGTCAGCCCGTCGTCCGAGGAGTTACTTGATGAGTGAGTGACATCTCAAAAGCGAGTACGGCGACACCACGCTGAGTGTATCGAAAGTGACTTTCTTTTCCCGTGTTTCCACTTCTCATCACTTCGCGCACTTATTTTTGTGCGTCTCTGTAGCACCAAGATGTTGATTTCTGTGCCTAATTTTTTAAGCCATATAGTTTGCTTTATCTTGCCGTTGCCAACCTCTAGATAATGTGTATATAACACAAAAGCTGCTTTTTGAATGCGAAGCGTTTTCTTAACGAACTTCAGCGACGTTTAGCGTATCTATCTATCTATCTATCTATCTATCTATCTATCTATCTATCTATCTATCTATCTATCTATCTATCTATCTATCTATCTATCTATCTATCTATCTATCTATCTATCTATCTATCTATCTATCTATCTATCTATCTATCTATCTATCTATCTATCTATCTATCTAACTAGCCGCCTACGACTTTTAGCTCTCCTGGCCGCTTGGATAATGGTATTGATAGCAAACTTGGTATGGCATAACATGACGGTATGACGAGCATATTCGACTAGTCATAGCATTAAAATAATGACGTGTGTGTCATGATTTAAATTTCATGGTCTTGCTGCTCTTGCGGTGGTCTCGTTTGCATGACATGTCGAAAACTGGTATGGTATGACATGATTGCACGGCGAACACAAGCGACAGACCCTGACAGGAAAAATATGCCATGTGTATCAAGTAACAACGTGACTACATTCCACGCTCATGATGCGCTCGCGGCCATTTCACTGGCGTCACATATACGAAATATGGTATTACGGTACGTGAATAGATGACGAAGGTATGTGACTGGCGCAAACAAGATAGTCGACATGCGTGTCATGTAACAACATGGCTACGTGGCACGCTCATGATGCGCTTGCGGTTGTTGTGCTAGCTCCACATTTGCCAAATTCGGTGTTACGTGACGCCAATGGATGACGAAGGTATATCACTGGTGCAAACATGATAATGATGACACGCGTGTCATGCAAGAACATGACAACATATCACAGATTCATAGCGTGCTCACGGCCGTTTGGCTAGCTTCACATATACTAAATTTGGCATCCCGTGACGTCAATAGATGACGAAGGTAAACGACACATCGAAACATAATAATCATGACACGAAAGTCGTGTACGGCATAATTTACCTCCATATCTGTACGTTGTGGAGATTTTAAAGTGACATATGGACATTTCTCATTCGTGCTTCGCATATCATCCATTGCCTTACCACTGCACGTGGAATCTGCCTTTTTTTTTCATATTGCGATTACCGAAAAAAATTTTGACTATTTGTTTGTCAAATGAATTCGCCTGAAGGGCTTAGCTCAGCAAAGAGAAATTAACATTTTTCGGATCCTTTTCGGGAAACAAAATCACGCTTCAAAAGGTTAAGGCTGCTACTTCCACGAGTTGGTACGAATTCATCTTGTAATGTCCGCATTGAAATGACTCGATGATCTGCTGGTGAGAACCGTTAGGGTTACGTGGAAACTCGGCCTGATGTCACTAGAGTGCAAAGTCGTAGAGAAGAGCTGTCAGTCATGCTTTACGCAGAATAGTGACCGGAAAACCTAGAGCAAGTTGGGTCTAGTGGGGTTAGCGAGTTCCTTGCACTGTATGAAAACGGATTCCCCTCCTGTCAATCGAAGACGCTCGTTCTACTCTGCCGCAAGGGTGTCCTTGGAACTGAAGCCTTTCTTGCCACACAATCGCAGCATATTACTGAAGTGTTTTCTTTATTCAGGTATGAAAACTTTCACTTTTTGTTCTTTTTATTCCACAAGGAGTTCGCCCGTAGGCGTGTCATATCGTCTTGTACCTGCTTCGTGCTACGAGCCGGTAGTGGCCAATTTACCTTCCTTAAACCTTTCGACAAAGTGGGGGCGAAATGTATAAACTATCGCACAGCTAATTCGCGGTGACACAAATGAGACGTTGGACAAACAAGCAGACGCGTGAAAGCTCCTGAAAATATTTGAGGCCGTCTTAGGCTGAATACGAAACCACTCGGTTATGGGACTAGTCTTATCTGCCCATAGCCTCCTAGATTGCCCTTGCCTGCCGGATGAGCGTAAAACGCCCGTCATCTATGGCGGCGCTACCTACGTAGGGGTGAGGGTTTTTGTACTTGGCTTTTGAGGTCGGCAGTTTTGGCGTTTGCTACTAATTTCAGAGGCTATGCCTTGTATTGAAGGAGTTGCTTGCTGAATGTCGGCGTCACTTGCGATGGGTTAATTATAATTACGTTTACGCCTTTTTAAAACTTTCCTACACTATTTTTGTAGCATATAAGCCCCAAAAACGTAAAAACTTGTTTGAAGACACCCCTTTTTAGGTGGCGCCACCACCATAGTTCGGACGATGGCCGCTTTCCAAGTGACCGCCGATAATCCGGCAGGCAAGGGAAATCTAGGAGGCTATGATCCGCCCCAAGATCGAGATATAGGCGGCAGGACCGTTGCCGTGGTAGCGTGTATCTGTCGGGCGAGCGATTAGAAACTCAAATGGCGGTGCTTTCTTGTGAGTGGTTTGAGCCGATTGTCGC